GCCTTTGTGTGTTTCTGTGTGGAGGAAGGTTTGGAGTTTCTCCGGGCCTCCCATTATGCCGGGCTCTTGTGGAGTCAGTTTCTCGCTGCCAAGGGCTCCATCCAAGTCCGCACAGCGCAGCCTTATTTCAGTGCTATTATCTCCGTGCATGACTTGCTTGGGTACCCTAAGCCCTGTGTCGGAGACAACACCCTGTTGGCCGCGTTTCGTCGAGGTTGGGAGCGCTTGCAGCACTCAACGGTGCCTGCTTCCGCGCTCGTGTTGGCCTTTAGTGCAGGTGATGCTTGGCATCTTTATGAGCAGTTGGCCGTAGTACCCGTTGGCTCCGAGTTGGCCTTGCCGTTGTTGTTCGTCGTGTTGAGTTTCTGTCTCTTGCTTCGCCCAGACTCTCTGCTGTCGGTAACCTGGGTGCGTGTTGCTGTCGTTCAAGGGGAGCAAGTTGTTCAGTACAAACCCCTCAATTGGAAGGGCCGTTTGGTTGCCCGTTTCCCTGCAGTGGGCTGTCCGTCAGCGTTTTTTGCGTGATCCGTCGCGGTTGTGGCTGGCGGGTCAGTCTACGCGTGGTGCTGAGTGTTGGTTTGACTTAGTCCTTGCAGAGTGTGGTTTGCCTCATATGCGCGGGGTGCATTCTCTCTATAGCCTGCGTCGTGGTGGCGCTTCCGCTGCTCGGGCGGTGGGAGTACCGTTTGAGATCGTTGAAGCGTTTGGCGGTTGGTCTGCCGGTTCTGTAGCCCTCCGAGAGCAAACACAGAAAGTCTGAAGACAGGGAACCGTCGCGGCGACATTTTCATTTACGTCATAGGTAACATATAATGTTAATTAATTAGGATGTAACACGCCTGCTTGGTTCTTGCCGTCTAACATGTGGATGCCGTACACTTATCCGTTATTACGGTCAAAGTATGAGGTGCAGCATACGTTTACAGTACTTCTCCTTGTGTTATGTTGCAGATTACTTGAAAGGAACTGGCTCCAGTTGGCGACTGGAGGAAGCATTTGTTCCCAACTTTCCCGACCTGCAGAGCCCGACGTCAGAAGCTGGCTGAGAGACAAGGAAAAAAAGATTACTAAGCTTAAAAATATGGTATAGGGTTGCCTTAAATTGTCTGACAAACAGGGTGATTCCACTTGGCCGCACACTAGCATTAAGTTTCAAAGATCTCACGCCTGGCTCAGCAAATCATGCAAGCGATAAGAAGCTAGTTAAATACATTAGTAGAAAGTAAAAATCCTTTAAAAAATCGCGTAAAGGGACTCCGTACGCGAAAAGCCGAACGGCCCAGTGCGTACGCGTACGCCTCGGACACTAAGTCCGCATTAGTGGCACACAAATTATCAGGGCCTCAGACCTGCTGATAACTTTCAAAGTGGACATTAACTTCCGAGCGAGAAAATTCATAGTCCGCCATTTCCTTCCTCAAGGCCCTACGCTGGCTTTTGTATTTTCCTTCATCCACAGCCGCAAATTTTAATAGCCCGCTAGCCAGTGGAATTCACAGCAGGACCGGTCGAATTGCCCACACTCCAGCGATTAGCCGACAAAACAATAATGATTTGCGATTTATAAATTACACCCACTCTTACTATAACAATGGTTTGGTGCCTTTAAAGCAACCTGTCGTACGGTTCCGGGGGGCTTAGTGGAAACACCTGTCCACTAGCCGCACACTAAGTCCACATTAAAGATAATGTTTAAAATTTTCACACTAACTTTAAAGTTAGTGTGCGGCCAAGTGGAAACACACTGAAAGCCATACACGACACAGAGTCGTACTGATCAAAGCCAATCCATACCTACTCGGTAACGAACACAAACCCCCTACATTACTTTGATAGGGTATTATAAAGTGTGGTTACGTGTACGTAGCTTAGCTATCCATTTTGAAATTACTTGAAGCTGCCGACCTTTTCACGTGTGCACACTCCGTGCTCATGGATGTTTTAGAAGACTACGTTTCTCCTCCATCTCTCCCTAGGCCTCTTGACGGCAGCCCGGGCGTTACGGCGGTGGCCTGCGCCAATGGCATCAGTGGTCCAGTCGCCCACAAACTTAGGAACTATTTACGGCAGAAGGCTCTGAAGATGGACGCGTTCGTTGCGGAATTAGTGAAGGCGTCCGAGTACTACGGCGCCAAGCACGTGCAAGAGGCGCTGATGACCACGCTTGGCATCGACGCCTTGGAGTCGAGCACACTCGTTCGTGTTCTTGTCCCCAAGGACAACAACAAGCGCCGGAACAGGTAAGGAATAAGGGTATGCAGAACGGGGGGCAACAGGCTAAGCTTTTGATAAAGAAAGGTAACTGATACCCTGGGGGGGGGGTTCACACATGTACTCTCCGTCTAAGGCTTTCTGTCAGTATGCGCTGGCTATCTTGTGATACTCTGCAACTCTGTCACGATGTTATTTCAACACTTGCCATTCATTCCGTTCTCACTGACATGTCATGCAGTAACGCCTCATCTGGAAGTGGGCCTTCCACAACCAAGCAAGTGGCCAAGCACTTGTCCTCCACCATACCATTGAAGTACCAGGTGGTCGTTAAGAAGGTTTCGAAGCCCGACGCCATCAAGATTAACAAGTGGTAAACGTGCGGGTAGGTACAACATGGATTGATGTAGTAGACATGGGTACTTTTCTGCGCAAGATCACATAACGCTGGCACATTTTCAGGTTCCTTATCCTTGGGGTTACCTGGGACACCCTGTCGTCCGCACTGGCGAAGAAGGACAAGCTTAAGGGCGCGGTGAAAAAGACAACCGACGTTGTTGACCTTAAGAACTTGGGGAAGCGGTGGATGGTGGAGCTCTTCCGGTCACTGACTGGAGAGAGCCTCTCAAAGGTTCAGCAGGAAGACAAGGCTACGTACGACACTGTCTATGACGCCTTGAAGGCGAAGCTGCAGAACGCGATGGTCAACCATCAGTCAGGTAGAAAGGGTGATGTTTCGGAAACCAAACGATATTCAATCAAACTGTGCGTTACACCTCACACTCCCACAGTGCTGATCTTTATGTTAGGGTTTGAGTAACCCGCGTTTCGGATGCCGATGCATGCATTGAAGAAAAAGTCGGACTTCTTCAAGGCCATCGGACTGACGACTGCAGACAAGGCTAAGCTCGAGACCGTGGCGACCATGGACGCCGTCCGTGCGACCGAGCTCTTTAAGGAGTGGGTGACTGCCCATGTCGAGGTCAGCACTCAGCCAGCAGGTAATGCATGCAAAGAAAAAACGTGGACGTTTCCTCAACCTCAAGACGACCTCAACCTCACTTGCAATCTGTGCCTCCGTGTTCTCTTTTGCAGGTCAGGAACGCAAGAAGAGCAACCACACGGCTGCAACTGAGGGTAAGTGAACGCCACTGCTCAGTAAAAGCTAAATACCCATGCGTTGTTACTAAGATCAGACATGAACTACTTGAAACTTCCCTGTCATGCAATACATCATGTTGCTTGTATCCCTTCCTAACTTCACAACAAAATGTACAACCCCCCAGCCCAGGCCAACGTTATGGAGACGCAGCAGG